TTAAATTTAAAACGATAGCTTATTTCTACTGTCTCTTTCACCAACCTTAAGATTGGTAATATTATTGTACTGATTCAACCCAACTCAGTAAGGAAGCTTGGTCAGGAAACTGCTCTCATTGTCTCCTAATCTGGATGTGAGAACCATTTTTTTATATTTTCAGGGAAGCTGTCTCAAGTGGCTGTTCCCATTATACTTATTTATATGCCACCAGATGCGTTCTTTATTTTATTTTCTACTTCGACTTAATTAGTGCGTGTAAGCTTTTCATGACGATGCCGAAGAAAAATATCTCATGTTGAGATTGTAGCAGGGGCAGAACTTAGGTGAGGAGGAAATCATGCATTATAAAAAAACCATCTAACAGTTTCGTAATTATGCAGACGGCAATATTATCTCGAATGTACCCTTGTAGGGAGTGTTCAGATCACTTCAAAGAAGTCATAAGTTATATGCTCTTTCTCTGAAAGCACTACCCGTTCCTCTCCTCTCAAGAACATTTCATTTTGAAAATTAGCCTTGGAACTTTTTTTTTTTTTTGAGAATTTGGTAGTTATCCTTTCTAAATTGTTAGTTTCTACTTTCTAGAGCTTGCATTCTGCAATCTCTAATGCTCACAGAAATTCCTATTATTTACAATTCTGCACTAGATTTAAAACCCAGTGTTAGTGACAGTATTCTCTCCCCCGCCTTGCCCTTCTAAAAATGATAAGGAACTCCGCTTACAGGGGTGAAACCTTGATGCTTAAAGATACTCCTACCTGGGCATCAGATGTCTCTGGGAATTTCAACCTGGGCAGATGTAACTCCCACTTGCCCACTTGGATACCCCTCATAAGGCATCTCCTTGAACATGCCATAAGCTACGTAATGTTTAACTTTTAGACGAAACTAGAGATAGAGCTTCTATGCCTAGTACAGAAGTTCCTGTACATGGACAAGGCACGCAGTCTCACTTTTCATATTAGTAAATGATTTCCTTCAATTTCTAACATACTCTATGACATAGCTCTTTATATCTTGCATCAACTTTTAAGAGTGTTAAGAACCATCATAAACCAGGAATCAACAGGTTTTTTTAAAATCATTTGTCGACTTCGGCCTTATTAACTATCCCAGTCGAATCAAGCCACGTGAAAAGTTTCTGGTTGCCTTGAATGTTTTGCATTATGCTTAAAATCAATTTCCTCTTTGTTTCTCTCAACAGCTTGGGAAAGCTAGTATTTTCGTGAAAGCGTTGATGCTCGGTGGGGCAAGCTAGAGTGCGAGCAGCATGCATGTGATCTACAAGGGACCTCGGAAAATTTTCGCCACGTGACACGATAAAGCTAGTACTTGGTAATCAAAGAGAATTATGTAAGAACAGATGCATACAAACCACCGCAGAAGAGAATTTCTTCCGAGTGTTGAAACCAGCAGCTTCCTCTTATAACATTGGTTTTCCACTCATGTTTCAGGTGGTGGAAAGTGTTATTCGTTACTATCATCCTCCTTGGTGTAAGCTTCCTCCTTTTTCATTTACTTGTATATAATAATGAATATGTATCATATGAATGATCTGCTGAGCACCGATAATCATCTTATATTAAGTATCGGTGATGTGTCATATAAATTTATCGATGGATAAACTTATGGTGGGCCTCAATATTTGAATTAAGTTCAAAATCCACCAATGGATTTATATGACATAAGATGATTCATGTATATGACACGTCATAAAATGAGCACCGGTATTCATTACTAACTACGAAAAAATAAAAAAATTGCCCCGGGCTCCGCCCCTGAATAGGTTGCCAAACTACGACAATAATTTCACCTTTTAAAGGGCCAATCGTATAGGATCACTAAGCTAAGCCAAGTCAAAAAGGCTCCTGACCAAATAGAGAGTGTGTGAAAGAAAAAGGTAATATAAATGTCCTTTATTTTATCTTTATTTTTACATGTGCCAATCAAATTATTATAATGTAGACCGTAGTGACTTTGGTGTAAATTGTCCCCTAAAGGTCAAAGTCGAATTTTAATTTTATTAATATATTTTATAGAATCCACAAGAAAAAAAATACTCTCGATCCTACGTTTTAAATTTCAATTTCAAAATTCAGATTCTCTCTCTCTCCATTTACACTCTCAATCTACATATCTGCAAGTCCGCGACGGCTTTTGTGAGGTTGTTGCTATTCCGTCAATTGTGGCTTGGACAAAGTTTGATCCATCGTAGGATTCGGGTTTAGGGTGAAGACATTTACGTGGGATTATATGATGGGGTGGAATTTGTAGTTGCATTGTTGCAGAGCAGTAGGAGGTCTCTTGGCTTTGGTTTGCAGGTGGGATGGGTAATATTTGCAAAATACGTTAGTGGTGGTGGTTGGAAGAATTTTGGAGCTATTAACAATTGAAATTTTAAGGATAGTAAAAGTTGGATGATTATGGAATTTTCTTGTTTCAGATCTGATGACCCTAATGCACAATAAATGACTAGAAAATGATTGGATTAGAGTTCCATTTTTCCCTTGTTCATATGAGTTTTGTGTTCATGCAGTGCACATCACTTTGGTTTGGTTTCAGTTGCGCAGGCCATGAAGTAGTTGAGTGGAGAACATACTATTATTTACGGTGGTAGGTGGTGATTTTTGCTTTGGCTTGGGGTTTGAGGGTAAGGATGGGGTTGGGAGGAGGAGGAGGAGGATGATGATGAGAAAGAGGAACAAGATGATTTTCTTTTTAAATTTTTTCATAATTTATTTGGGATCTATTTGCACTTTTTTTAAAAAATTTGTGAGTATGGTTGCAATTAGTTTTTTTTTTCTTTGGTTTTCTGTTTTGTTTTATTTAAACAGAAGATTATATTCGTTATTTCACGACTTTTTATTTAGAAATTGGAAGAAAATGATAATTTCCGCCATGAAATGTGTAAATATAGGTGAAAATACAAAAAATAAAAATAAAAAAATGCAACATTGTGACTTTTTGCATAATGAAATCTATACATAGGGACATTTTGTGCTAATAACTCTAGAAATGGTGGTGCTGACGTTAATGGAGTGATATGAAGACTGATTGTGATTAGTTAATCTGATATTTGTGATTAACAAATTACGTCTTTGTGATTGTGATTTTATGTGATTTGTAATTAATGTAGATTGAGATCATAAATTGTGTATTATTGTGACTATAGTCTGCTTAATTGAATTATGTCACTTATTGTGACAACCTGGTTTTTTTAAATTTTTCATAATTTCTTATTTTGAAATATTTATTATTGTGTATTTTCCCACTAGAGAAACAAAAATTTATTAGATGTTAGTTTTAAAAAAAAAATTCATAAGTTTATTATTTTTGAATTTGTATCTTGAGTTTTTTTTTCCAACCCACAATTAATAGTTACAACTAATTTATCCATTACTCAATTTTTCAACTTATAATTTTCACCAAACAAACACGTACTTGTTATAATTTATCATCTCCAATTTACCAATTACATCGACAAAGCCTATGTTTGGATTTAATTCAATTTTGCTAAGAAATTAATATTTAAAATTAAAATAATCGCACATTTTTTTTAAAGATACATAAGGAATACCCACTGTTTTCACCTTTAATTTCTTAAAAAGTAATTTTTTTAATAAAATGGACTAATCCAAAATTTTAAGTCACTTACTAGGGTTTTGGGACTGCCCTCTATAAATACTAACTTTTCGCTTTTCGTTCAAAACCTACAATTTATTCTGCAATTAGGGTTCCTCGTACATACAATCGGCTTTTCTTTTGCGCTGAAAGATGGGGCACTCTAACATCTGGAACTCTCACCCCAAGACCTACGGGCCTGGTTCCCGCACCTGGTAATCCCGTCTCAAGTTGTCATAGTTTGAGAGAATGTTTAAAAGTTTTGATGTAATTGAATGTATCTAATATAATATGCAAGGGTTTTGAGGGAGTTATGATGTGTTATTTTACTTTGATCCGTGGATTTTTTGAGTCTGATTTGATATTTGTGTATATCTATTGATGATTTTGGTCATCGTTGATTGTTCATTAGCCCGCAGTCTCGTGTTTTCTTTGATGAATTGTTGTAGTTAATATACCGCAAGGAGGACAGTAAGTGATATAAGGGCTATCAATTATAAATGGAAATTTGGCGTGCTGACTGGTAGTATTATGTGTCTTAGATGTATTAATTGAATAGCGGTCGAGTTCGTTTGGTAATTCTAATAATTTTCATGTAATCTATTTTTCAGTACATGTTCTGCCGGGTTGAATACTTGTTTAAAATGCAAACATCTTGACAAATTCAGTGGATATCGTAGGATTATGCTTAGTAATTATAATTAGTCTAGTTTGACTAAGGGGAATGGCTTTTGCTTATTCTTTTTGTATAAGAACTCTTTGAGGAAGCTAACTTATTTAGTGTTTAGAATCTAATTTCTAAAAGAGTTTTCTCTTCTGAAGAGCTTTCTAAATAGAAGAAGCACTTTTATAAATTTAACTCTTTGCAAAAGAAGCTTTTGGGTCTCAAAAGCTTGTTTTGATTTCTCAAAATTCATGTCAAACGGCCCTAATATAGGTTCTTATGTTGTGTGAAGTAGTTTCAAGATTAACTACTGCCAAATTTCCTCCATCTACCACATATAATAGCTTGATATTAGAATACATTGTTGTAACACTTATAACAAGTGTTTTTGCACCTACTTTGGTATGTGGTTTGGACTTGATGTCCATGTTTATACGGTCAGCTTAATATTGACATGATGGATATGATGCTGTGACAGTCGTGTATGCGGTAATCCCCATGGAATTATTAGGAAGTATGGGCTCATGTGCTGTAGACAGTGCTTCCGTAGCAATGCCAAGGAAATTGGCTTTATCAAGGTAAATAGTTGAGTTTTTTTTAACCAATATCTCAACTATTCATTTATGTACTTTACATTCTGAGCTATATTTTCAACGAGTTCCTGAATCTTCCTCTCTGCAAAGCTTGCATTAATATAACATCGTTTTAGCTTAAATTATTTACGCTTTGGATTTTGTTGTATAAATGGAATCTTTCCATAACAATTATTTGTTCTTA